CTCGCCCCTGCCCCAGCTTGGCGTGGCCAGTCAACGCGAAACTGCGCTAGCCACAAGGCAACTCACTCACTCCCACCACCTCCTCACACTGCCAGGACACTTGGCCACTTCACCACCCTCAGCCGCATCATCAGCACTACCGCACAAGTCGTCGTCCGCATCGCACTTCTCTCTCATAGAGTCCAAATCTCAAGGGTGGCATAAATGTTGTCCTTCAACTTGGCCTCGTCCTTTGCTTTCCTTTGCTGCTGCTGTCGCCGCTGCCGCTGCCGCTGCCACTGCTGCCGCTCGTGCTAGTTGGCTGATAGCTTAAGTGGCTGCATTATTGTCGGGGCTTAACTAACACTAAAACTGATTGATTTTAATTTTCATGCATTTACATTCATTACGTTTTATTGACCCAAATGATTCACGCTGACTTGCAAACGATATTAATTGAAATTTTAATTAGCTTGGGAGTTCTATGTAGGTCTTTGATTAATTTCTGACAAATAAAGCGAAATATTAGGGAGGTGGGCCTAAATTTGAAATTACAAGTAGATAAATTTGATGGAGCTCAAGAAATATTAATTATATATTATAAAATACAAAAGTCTTCCAAAAATTCAGTAAATATACATATATTTTTCTGATTCACATTTGATATATGTGTATTACTTTGCCATTAAAGTTGTTCCTTTAACCTGATTTTACGTCCTCATTTGAAAAAGCATATATTCATATTCAACGAGCGCTGAAACGTAATAATTTAATTTATTCTAGAAGCTTAAACAAGGTTTAAACAGGTTTTCAAGATTAATACTATTTGTAATATATTTTTAAATATATTTTTTTCAATTTTTTTAAATTAATTAAATTTAAAAATTAAAAAATTAATTAAAAAATTAATTAATTAATTAACAAATATATTTTTAATAAAATAAAAAAGATATACAAAATTATATATTATCTTAAATTTCTATTTCTTATTATATAAAAATTATAATATAACTACAAAAATAATAGTAGGTCAATTTATGTTGATAATAATTTATTTAATTTTTATTTTTAATAATATATGCTACTTGTAAAATTTTTAAAAATAATAAATTTAAGCGTAAGCTCAAACAATGATAATATTCCATTTCTCTTAAATTCTGATTTCATAAGACTATATAGTCTTGTATATACAAGCTATTGTAATTTAAAAATTATTATTATTAAAAATAGTATTTTTATTGTTAAACTGATTACACAGTTTATTTTCCAATTACTTAATTGATAAAATAGCAAAAAATTGCCGCTTTCAACACGCGAAATGAAAACGAAAGAGAACTTCAGAGTCCATGGCTCTCTTAGCTCAGGCAAGCGAAGAGTACGATTCGCATTGCGCCTGTGCGTATGCAACGGGGTTCGAGGCCGGTTGCAAGGCAAACCAAAACAATGGCATCAAACACCCACGCCAAGGCGCACACACACACGCACACACGCACGCACACAGATAGATTGGTTCGTTGCGGCAGACTTGACGTCTCCGGGCATGTTGCCACTGGCAGACAGCGTGTCCTTGTCTCTGGCTTTTGGCCGTGGCAAATCAGTTGCGGTTTGGTAACGCGGCACAACACAACGTGCAAGCGGATTCGCAAGACTTTTCACACTTTGTACCGAATTCACTCGAATCGCGTGCATTTTTTCCACGTTTTGGACACAAACAAATAAATAACAAAAGGAGAAAAAAATATCAAATTTGTTTGCACTTTGCAACTGGACGCGACTGAATTTCCACTTCGTTGCATTTTGAATTGGCATTCGAGCTAAACAAAAATTATTTCGAGTTCAGGCATCGCCGGGTTAAAGCTAAAACGTCCTGATTTGAACTGTTGCCTCGCATATCATTACGCGTTCTGATTTCTGAAGTGTGTGTGAGTGCGTGCGGATCTCTGTCGGTGTGTGTGTGTGTGTGTGTGCATTTATGCATAATTGAATAACGAAGGTGAAAATTGAAATGTTAACAAATTGAATTTACACTCTCCAACCGAAAACCAAATTGGAATTGTGAAAGAAACTTCGCATTCAAGTAAATTGCTTAACGAGCCAAGTCGCAGCCAAGAGCCGTAGAGACAACTACGTGCTGCCAGTTAATTTTCTAATTGGATTAGAAGTCATCAACCCGTCAGCGAGGTAAGGCCCATGAACTTCGCCTTTCACCAAGCGACCGACTGACTGACAGACAGACAGACCGACAGACACAGTCAAGTGGACAAAAGCATGTTCAAGGTTGAACGGCAGCTAATTGCAAAGGGGGCGGCAGCTGCGTTTGCTTTAATGAGTTGGCCAGGTGTCGTGTGATGTGAATGCCTAATTTCCAGCTGAAGCTCCGATTACAAAAGGCCAACTTCAGTCAATTGGCACTTTGTCAAGTTCGGTTTCCGGTAATGATTCAGCGAGCCATTCAACAGAATTTTGGTAATTGTTTTAGGAAGAATATGAAACAGAACACTTTGTTAAAATGAACGTTATTCAATAATCTCTTTTGTTATATGATATGTTTTATTTTAGTGTTACATTCGACTGAACTTAAAATACTGATGAGATTACTGTGACATTATTTTAACGAATTTTTATTTAAATAATTTTTTCTTTTATATTTAGACTTTAATATGAAAGAGGTTCCCAGAGTAAACTTGAATTAGACGGAGATATAGTAGATAGCAGCTATTTATTATTTTCGCAGCGTTTTTAACGTCGATAAGAGTGTAGTTAAATTGCTTAAAGATTAGCTATTAATTTTTGTATTATTAAATAAAAAAAAATAAAAATTAAACATATTATTTAAATTCAAGAAAAAAAGGAAAGAATTCTTTATTTATATAGTCAAGCTTGCTCTATGAAAAAAATTTGGTAATTTGGAAAAGATTTTTAATCTTATTTATTAACATGATTGCTACATATTCCATAAATATAGTTTAAGTTTTTGGATTTACGTCTTGGATTCTATTCTTAGCAAGCAATATTAATAATGCACGGCTTATAGGTATTTCTAAAATTTGGCTGAAAATTTATAATACGATTTATTCGTTGAATCGTATCAAAAATTCTTTACCAGAATATTGGAGACATTCTTGTTCAATTTTCAACACTATTTCTGAAGCAGTCAGTCTTTAAAACAATTGAAAACCAACAGGTTAACAGAGCTGTTGGTTAGCTTCAATGTTAACATGCATGTTAAGACATGACTGTTAAATTTCCATATTACAACGCAATTTTCAATAAAAGTCTAAAACTTTCATTTCGCTGCTCTAACATGCATGCATAAAAATAATAAAATTAATGTCCAGTTTCAGAAACGAAATTTTCTAGCTGAAATAAAACATGCATAGCATTAAGGGTAACTCCTATACTCACATGCTTATCTATATAGTCGAATCCCTTTAGAGTTGTCGCACGCAATTCATGCAGAACTAGAATGAACGCATTAATTCCCAGTTAAGCATTAACACTTGCTGGAACTATAGTCAGGGCCATTAAAACGACAATGTTTGCTGTCATTTATATTAATTTACTCACACTGCTTGCAACGGGCACGCCCATACGCCCACACGCCGCCCACGCTAACAGGGAAAAATAGATAAGGAGACGAGAGCATTATGCAAATTGCAATGGCAAACGGCGACGAGCCCCCGAAGCGAACACCTCATAATGAATACTAATTCGTTCATTAACGAACTCTGACACATTATTTCACACTTTCAGTTGGCATTTTTGGCTTTAAAGCCGGAAAGTCTTCATGTGTGCAATTTTTTGCTATTTTGTGACGTATGAATTATTAAAATTAATTAAATGAATATTTTCTCATATATTTTTGGTTTTTTTTTTTTTGCGATGTGGGCAAAGTGTAAATGAAGTCGAGTGCGGCTAATCAGGTGCCAGCAGGAGTTAACCAGAGTTTACGAGCGTGTGCGAGGCATGAGATAATTAAGAATTTAATTATTTACACACACCCAGCACACACACACACGCAGACACTCGCACAGGCACAACAAACAGGCAGAGACATTTATTAGCCTAGACATAGGACACACTTGCTTAGAGGGTATTTAGAACTGATTTGATGGGAGCTCTGTGCTGGGATGTTGGGGGCGAGACACAGGCAGGAAGAGAGAGAGAGAGAGAGAGCTTCTTATGTCATGCAATATTCATAATTCCTCATGCTCATAAAGGCCCAGTAAGGCCCTATAAGCAGGCGGCTGTGCTGTGTGTGGGCGTGGCTGGCGTTGCAGTTTTGCGAGTCGAATGTTGACGTTGGGTGTTTCACTTTATTTGTTTGCTGTCAACGTTGCTTAATTGAGGGTGTTGCTCGCCAGTGTTTGACTGTTTATTGAACCGGGCAGGAGTCTGGAGGGAGGATGTATGCTCTGACAGAGTCTGTTCAACTCAGTCCATCCATCTGCCATCGGCCACAACAAGAGTCACATGCAACAGCATTTAATTATACACACATCGAGCGTGTGGCAAGGTTTTGCTGCGCTTGACATTTTAGTGAATGCCGCTTTGTACTTTCACTTGTGGCAGCAACAACAAAAACAAATGATTTAACTGCCTGTCAACAAGCTGATGACAAATGGGTAAAATTAAGCACAGCTTAGCTGTGGATCGAGGTATTTTTCATTTTGGATGTTTAATAAGAGTATAAAATCTTTATTTTTTTGGCTTATTTTTGTTTAAATTTTTAATTAAATATTTACTAAAATAAAAACTTGCTTGTACGTAACATTAAATGTAAAATCTTAGAGGTTGCTTCAAAACTGAGAAATTAAAAGTAAAATTGAAGAATATATTCACATATGTATATATCATATATAAATTGCAATTTATATATTTATTTTTCAAAAATACGATTTCCTACACATGAAACAGATTCTTAATATATTAGAAATCATCTTAATAATGAGAAAGCATTCTAGTTGTTATTTAGAAATAAATAATAAGCGATATCCTTTTTTTGTTTTATGACAACTTTTTTATTCGGAAATCATAAAATTGACATTGATAATGACACTCAGTTTTTTCAGCACATACCAATAAGTTTTGATCTCGTATTCGCCTAAGCCGAGAGGCACCGGCAAGTTAATATGATCAGCGATACGTAAACTGTCCACAACTACATCATGCTGTACAAAAAAAAAAAAATAATAATAATAATAAATGTTGAAAAAATTTAGTTATCGATGTGGTTATAGCTACTTAGAGACTTACATCATAGGGACACGTGTGATTTATATTCGAGTAGACCTGCAGATGAAAGAAACTGTAAACGGCATTGGCAATGGGATTCCGTCGGGTGCTACGGAAAAATTGGCATGCATCAATTTCGAAGGTGGCGAAGGTGGACCTAAAGCGACGTTTGATGTCTACATGTATCTGCAGTTGCATAAATATATACATATATATATATATATAGATGTTGATATTGATAGGGTTTACCAACCGTGACGTTTGACACTGGCTTCTGCAGCAGCGTCATATAAAAGTGCAATTCCTTAATTTCACGATTGTACGCTTTGATGATGCACTGTTTGATGATGCCAAGCTTTGGATTCATGTTCTGGCATTGAATCCCTGTTAGCTTTATTCTGATCATCGACGTGGGCGTGGCAAGCACACACAATGCCAAACAAATAAGTCGAGTCTGACAACCGAAGCGCATCGCTGTACTAGTTTAACTGATCAGCCATTGCGTACAAATAGGCCATCAATTTCAATGTTTGCGAAATATATGTTTAGTCAAGCGATGAATTGTGTGTTGTCAGTCTGTATATATAACTAGTACTGACGTTATCTGGAATTATCTGCCATCGTGTAATAAATATATCCCTCAGCTACACCACGAGTATAGACAAAATCTCAACAAACTAGACAGGGCGTGATATAAGTAGTATTCCAGTGAGTGGAAGTAAAATCGGAAATTATTTTGATAGGTATATGGGATTCGTATTTTAAGGAAATGAAATATGTGTTTTCCTTTTTTTTATTTGTTTTTATATATATATATTTTTTTTTGTTAATTTTGTTATTAACTGCTCTAAAATCATCCTTTCCATGACATGATGAACATTTAGAAAAACCCTTGCAGATCATACCCTTTGTATATACAAAATTTGGATATTAAAGCTATAAAAAAATTCCCAAAAACCCGAACAGTTTGTGAAAGATTTTTAGCTGAAGAGAAAAAATCAGAAAGAGTGTGCAGAGAATGGATATAAATATTGCTCATATTTAATACGGATATTTAAAAATATATTGACAAAAATTTTATTGAAATAAATGTGTACACCATTAGTGCTCATTCAACCAGTTAATTTAAAATTGGCTTTATTATTTTTACAATCGTGGTAATTATAAAAAAAATTTACTTGGACATTTTTTTTAATTCAAAGCAGATTTTATTAAGATGTGGAAATATGTACACATATAAATATATATATATATATATATGGGATCCATTATCGTAATCCATTATTGTCATGCAATATCTTAAGTTGTGATCTCAAAGTTCAACTGGATGGTAAGGCGCAGGACATTGTATGTATACCAATAGCTCATTAGCTTATAATTGCCCAAGGACATGGGTACTGGAAAATTGAAATTCTCATCGAAGCGTAAATGATCGATGATCAATTCATCCTGCAATATTAGAATATGAAAATGACAACAAAATTGTGTTAATTTAGATTTACGCACTCTGAACGGACACGAATGATTCAAGTTGGTGTAAACGTCGAATTTGAGAAATTTATAGAAAGCATTCGCGAGGACATTACGATTGCTGGCACTCATAAATCGGCACGCATCCACGGCGAATGAATACAAAACGGGCTTGTCATAGCCGCGATGCCTCAACTCCAGACGAACCTATAAAGTACACATCTTGTCTATAGTCTTCGTCCATATAGTATATATAGTAATTCTAGTCATCTACCGTAGCATTGGTCACGGGCTCCTTCAGTAATTTGACAACCACATAGATATCTTTAACGCCACGCCCAACCGGCTTTAGAATACAGCTTCTGATTTCAATAATTTCGGGATCGACCGATTGGCATTCAACTGACTTGAATCGTGTATGCTCACACCAAGTGGGCGTGGCAAATGCAACTATAATGAGCAAGTAAACTATGAACATTGTTGCTTAAGGCTTAGACCGAACGATTTGACGACGCGTTTTCAACTAATCAGTGATGAATGATGAGTGCAGCAAGTCATTAACGAGTGCTTATTCATTTGTAATTATTTCTATATTAGGGCTGCTTAATATAGAAATAACTTATCAAAGATGTTACAAAATTTGCAAATAATTGAAAAATAATTATATAATTAGTGAACAAAAAAAAGAATTTTTTTTGCAATGGATTATGATCTTCTATGTTATATATATTTTTATTTATTATTTTTTGTTTTTTTTTTTTAAATTAAACAATTATGTTCCTCAATAAGCAGTTGAGCAACTTTATTAAAGTTAGAGCTCAATAAATTCAATTCAATTCCGAAAGTACTAGGCAAAAGGCCTACTAAAAGCTATTGCTCGACTCCTGCAGTTGCTTATTCTCTTGAGGACCGGCAAATGTAGGCTAAAGGTCAGCTAGTCTACGCAAATTTATATGATTTTCTTTGGGCTACTATGTGACAGTGCACGTTTCTATTTATCGCCGTCTTTTTATTTGATGTGCTCATAACTTGTTCTCAAAATAAAATAACGAAAAATTGTGCCCAACTGTCGCTGACAGACGTTGCTAACATTATTGTCGTTGTCGGCGTCAAAGTCAAAATTAAAAACGCAATGACAAAAAACAAACTGATGCTGCGCCCACCTTTGCTGCTCTGAAGATTGGCGCGTGAAAAAACGCGCAACGCATCAGCAGAGGGACGCAGGCGACACACAGCAGCAACGGCAACAGCAACAGCAACAGCAGCAAGAACAATGCTGCCATAAATAACAAAGGCAAATGTTGCTAGCGACACACTCACTGCAAAAAAAAAAAAAGCAAAAAAGGGGCGGCTGCTGTGCAGGGGTAAAGGTGCGACTGAGGACGGAGGCGGGACGCAAGGCAAGATTTGTGCCTGCTTGTGGCACTGTCACTGGGGCTGTGCTGAATGTGCCGTTAGAAGCGCAGCAACATGACAAGCAAACACAACAGCAACAGCCAAACAGCGAGGGGGAGGGGGCACTTGGGATGGGGGGCTGACACAGGGTGAGAGGAGCGGCAAGAAAATATTTACAATCAAGTCGATTAACAAAAGGAAACCTTGTGACGCGCACTTTGGAGTTCTCTCTGTGTATTACTTTTTTTTTTCTTGCGCTTCTACTCGTTGCTGTTGTTGTTGTTGTTGCTTTTTTAATTAAAAATCAGTGAGCACACGCCCACGCCCACGCCTCCCTGACTGTCATCGGCGCCATTTTGCAAATCAACGCAATGATTGCGCCGCCTTGTTTTGTCATCGCATTTCATGCAACGAAATATTTTTCATAAATATAACGGGACTTTGGCAGGCAGCACTTGAGACTTTCGCCACATTTCCCCCAGCAACAACAACAAAGAGTACACAGCAACCCGCCGCAGAGGCAGCAGCAACAGCAGCAGGAGACATCATCATTAGGGCCGCCCACGCAGGAAACTCGAATGAAAAAAAAAAAAGAAAATAGCTGAGAGACACAGAAGCTGGCTCTTTGAGCTGGTTGCAATTGTTACGGCTCCCCGTTGTTATTGCCACAGCGCCAACTCCAACTCCAACTCGAGCGCTGAGCTCTCGGCATCAGCTCCATCTCCATCTCCATCTCCATAGTTAACGCTCAGTGCTTATTGTCTTAAGAGGAAGTCGCTGTTCTATAGGAGCCGAGGCTGACTGGGGGATTGGTTGAGGAGGGCTGTGCTTGGCTACGCATATGGCACATTGGTGGCATGGCTGGCGTGCGGATATAACGGTAGACTCATTGAAAATGAATAACTGTGCATGACGCACCATGGCGTCAACTGCAGCCAACAATGCAATGGCCAGTCGAGCACACACTCCAAACTTAATAATGTAAACCAATTTGCAAATGTAAAAATTGCAAGAAAGATTATCATTATGCAATTATTAAAATTGAATTTTCCATTGCAATTGTTAAATATTTTTATTTATTTTGTTGTTCTCTTTCACCATCCTTTCACAAATCCAATTTGTTCACTTTACATATCGATTGGTTATGAGACAGAATCTTCAATTTCATCCACAGTGCCAGCCGTTAGAGGCTGCGGCAGCTGCTGCCGCCTTTTCCCTTTTCCACTTCCATTCTTCTTGATTCTTATTACATTCATTTTTTTTCTATATAAATATATTTTCATGCAATTTTTCACTTTGCGACTTTCACGTTGTTTATGCAAATAAGCGCCAAATGCTATTTGAATTTAGCGCAACAAAAAATAAGGAGAGGCGGAATTATGGTAACGCGATTGTCAACGGCACAGGCGCCATTTCGCAATTCTAAGCTGATGGCACCGTTATGATTATGACAGTTAGAGCGGGCGCCATGTTGTGCAAGCAGCAGCAGCAGCAGCAGCAGCAGCAGGAGCAGCAGCAAATGTTAATAACACATCAAGGGCGAGCGACAGCACAATGCCAAGGTACCTGTCTCGCTCACACTTGCACGCGCACGTGCTGGCAAACAAGCCACACAACGGTTGTTGCTGCTGCGACTCCTGCTGTTGCTGCTGCTGTTGTTTTTACAAAGTGTAAATTGTTTTAATACTTTTTAGTGCTTTATGACGCCATCTTGGCAGCGATATACGCCGGCAGCGCTGCTCTGCCTTGGCATCAGCTGCGCCCAACTGCGCCCAGCAATGACTCCTGGCTGCCATCCACTCTCACTCTCACTCACACTCACACTCACACTCACACTCTCACTCGCACTCGCGCAGAGCGTACACGTGTAGAGCGCACGTTAAAATCTCAACTTTTACGACCTTTGCAGTGACGTCGACGTCGACGTCGGGAGACGCTGGCCCAGCAAGTTTTTTATTTTCTATTTTTTGTTTTTGTGTCTATTCTGTGTGACGTTGACTCTTACCTGTTGCCCTCTCTGCTTGCCCGCTGCACTTAACACAAATGGCAATTGTCAGAGATTCTGCACGTAACGTACTACCCTCGCTGCCACGCCCACCGCCTCCCCTCCCACATCTGGCTGACAGTTTGAGCTGCCAGCTGCGTGTCGCAAGTTTTAATCAAAATTGTTTCGTTTTGCGCATTTCACTTCATGAATTGTTCAGTTGTAACTGTCAAATAAAGTTTGGACGCACTTCTCTGTGGTGGGGGGGCGTGGCATGTTGTTCTGACACTGCAAATGCTGGTAATTAAAATACTTTTGCGTACAGTTTTGTTTATTCTGTTGTTTGCCATTTTGTTGGCAATTAGTTGCACGTTTTTTGTATAATTCTAGCCGAGCTTTCCCCCTTTTCCACGCCTCTGCGTAAACATTTCAACTTTGTTCCCTAATTTATTTGCTTATTGGCATATTTTGTTCTCATTACAGTTAGTCAAACAATTTCTACGGCGCTGGCCAGCAAAATGGATACGACACTTGGCAAATATTAGACGTAAGTGCAAAGAAACGAATTCACAAGTGAAATTTTTGTTTTTCCTTTTATTTTTTTGAGATTTTAACATGAGTTGACGACTTAAAGTTTAGAAAGTCGGAAAATCATTTGCAGCCGCAGCTAATTTCACTCTTATGCATTACGATGCTGTCAATCAAGAGTGAAATTCGAAGCTGCAACCCTTCCGGCTGTGCCACACATAATAATGTTGGTTGCTGCAAGGTTGCTAATGCGGCAACAACAACAACAGAGCCCTGCAGCATTAGCTCATAGCTGAGCTTCAACTCGAAATGGGTCACTCACGCCAAGTGCCTGAAATGTGTCATATGTGGCCTGCAGCCAATCAGGCAACCAGTAGCGCCTGCCTAGCGCTCACGCCAATAGCCGCTTAATAAGCGCATAGAATGCGACCACAAATCACAGGCGCTGAGAGCAACAACAAAAAGCGCTCAAAATTGCAGCTCTATAAGTCAAACTCGTCTCACTCCCTAAGCCGGGCCGACACCTGTTACGCGCTGAGCTGCACTTGCTAGGCGTATAAGAGAGGGATAGAGAGAGAGAGAGAGCGGCTTAGCTCAGCTCAGAGAGCGAGTTTGTTAGCATGTGTGTGTGTGTGTGTGTGTGTGTGTGTATTTGTGTGCGAGAGCGCGTGCCTGATCGCGAGGTGAATTTGAGCCGGCTATGTTGAATTGGACCTGCATCAACCTGTGTGCGCGCTCTCTCTCTCTCTCTCTCTCTCTCTCTCTCTCGCTGTTTGCTTCTGCTGTGTTGAACTTTCTGTTGTTGAAACAACTTTCGACGCACGCGCAACTTCTTTAGTAGCGATCGCGACTTCAAAGCGCACAGTTCGTATGACGCACGCGGTGAGAATTGCGCGCAATTTATTTTCGATTTTGATTGATTTCTCGTGCTGTTATTGATTTTACGCACGTAATTAGCACAAACGGATTCGCAGTTAATTGCAGCGGACAGTAATTGCTGTGCAGCCGACAGCCGACATACCAGTGCAACGGTGTCAATTGATTTGATTTGATTTGTGATGCGCTAATTGGCAGCAGCTTCAATTGTGTTCCAAATATGTCCAAGCTGTTGGCCAAGAAGCGCTGGTGGAAAATCTGCTTGCCCCACGCGCAAAACGATGCCAACAAACACTATCGCGAAGTTATACGACACAGCGAATGCGCTTCGGTTTTGGCCATTACGGATACCAGCAGCAGCAGCAGCAGTAGTGGCAGTGGCAGTGGGAGTGGAAGTGGAAGCGGCATTCAAAGCTGTGATAGTGTATCGAAAATTTCACAACCGGATGTTGGCAAATTGTTTCCGCGCAATATGCCGAGCATACGGCGCAGTCGTCGACGTTCCACAGAGCGCAAGGAAAATCTTTCGGCTCCTGCTCCGGCAGCAGCTGCTGCTGCCACTCCGGCTGCTGCTCTAACCGTGCATCGCACACATCAGTCGCGTCAATCGACAGTCACCAAATTGACGCCACGCAAGCTCAAGTCAAATTGCTCAAAGCAGCGCCACTTGGTCAAATCTGCGGTGAAGACCAAAACGAGGGTCAAGCTGGCGCCCTATGACATCGCACTCGAGCTGCCAGCCCCTGGCTATGTGGACGAAACTGCGCCCAGCTTGGCACGCGCTCTGCACTCGCAGCAGTCGAGTTTGATAAGCAGCGATCTGTCTAGCGACTGTTTGCCCGCCAAACAGGAGGAGCATTTCCACTCATCGGGCATCTCCTGCAATGGCGAAACCGATGACGACGTGGAGGTGGCCATGCTAACCGGCTGCCTCAGTCCGCAGCAGCTGCAGCGCGTTCAGCATCGAAACAGACCCAATCAGCAATTGCCACTGAATGAGCTGCTCAGTTTAAATGTTTGCCGGAATCGAAACGCGGTTTGGCTGCACAATGCGCAAACGGATCAATTGTTGGACTGTGGGCGTGGCAGCTGCGAAACAGCAGCCATTGCCGATGATATGCAATTAAGCGATATTGAAGAACAATTGGCCAAGTTTGATGGCCAGCAACAACAACAACAACAACAACAACAACAGCAACTAGCTGCCAAAACGTGAGTTCAACCTTATTCGAGAGCACTTAGAAAGCATTGCCTATCTATCGCATTGCCCATAATTCTCTAATCCAAGTCGAATACCTCAAAAGGAGAGCCCCAACAGGTTGTTAAGATAATCTATAGATGAGAAGCTATCTACCCTAGCTGACTCCTAATTGGAGCGGCAACAGCGGCAAAACTAATTTGAAATGCGTTTGACGCGTTTTACATTCCGTCCCCCTGCCCAACTGTTTTCGGCTCTGTTATCCGAACCTGTGGGGATAGCAAATGGAATTAATGAGCCAGAGAGCCCGGACCCACTGATAGGAGCTTAACTCATATGGCACATTTTATGGGCTAGTTTAATGGTTGTTTAATAGCTTTATATGGACGGCGCTCTAAAATGCTCATAAAAAGCTTTCACAGTCGAGGCATTCATTCGAGTGCCCCGACGTTTTGTAATCCGCAACGTTTATGAGCTACAAGTAGAACAAAGTCAAAGAATTTGATTGTTTTTTATGGCCATTTGGAAATTTAATCGATGCCTAATTGAGATATTCGCATTTTTTTCATTGTTTCTTTAATAGGCTGATAAACAGCTTCTAAAGTAGAAAAATTGAATTTTAATTTTATAAACAAATTTTACATAATAGAAATATATATATCTGTTACATAATAGATATTATTTAGCTATAAAACAATGTGAGCCTCATAACTGTTTGTGTCTGTATGACTCTGGCCCCTAAAAGTAAACTTTAAAAAACTAGCTTGAAAATCGATTTTCATATTTTTCTCGCTTAGAATTCTCAACTGGTTCAGGTGCGGAGCACTTGACTTTCCCCAAGTCTATGTTCATAAGTTAGCAATCAATTTTTTGGGTTTTTGAATTGCTCCCATTCAATTCTTTTGGAATTGTTTTGGACTTTTTTGTGTTTTTTTTTTTTTTTTTTTGGGAATATGTCTTTATTTATGTTGGCGAAGTCCTTGCTATATGCAAGAGGTCTTAAGCAATTTGTTTGAAGACTGGCTCGTTCTTGAGTACCTCATGGGGGATGGTATTCATGCTAAAATACGAAGTCCTTGCTATATGCAAGAGGTCTTATACAATTTAAATTGTTATAAGACTGGCTCGTACAGTGAATTTTTGTGAAGTTCACGATAGAACTCTTGGAACGTCAAGTTTTCTGACTCTCTCCGACTTGGTGGTAATAGCTGTTGAAAAAATGTCGGCTCTAACTTTGTTAATTGCTGCATTGTTTGACGCTTTCTTCCTCGTAACTCTGGAGATTTATCCAATGTAATCGCTTCACACTACCCACTTTTTTTAGTCCGGGTTTCGATGGTTCAGTTTGGTGTGTTTATTTTTTGTTATGAAATTCTAATGTCTTCTGACAAATACGTACGTTTCACTTTGTTCGAAACATATTCTGAATCTTCATACATAAATAACGCCTTCAAACTGAATTTTGGTTGCCAAGAAATGCTGTGCTTAAACTATTTAGTCTATGGATGTGAAGTTTTATATGCCCAATTTACCTTTGTCTTTGACGTTCAGATAGCATTCGGAGTATTTTATTTTTCATATTTCTTTTGGTTAGTTTTGTGTGGTTTGAACAGCTCTAGCACCGTTTTTATGTTTCAGGTTCTATGCCACGCTAATTGAAATGGCAAAGGCCAGAAGGAGGGTGGGGGGGCTAGGCGGGGCTCCCTCGGATTTCATAAAACATATCAAAGTAGAATAACGGAAGGAGTTTGAAATATATTTTTTGTTAGTTATTTTTTTGATTTCCTCGGGTGGGCGTTACCTCTCGTAACGAATGCATCTTTCACCTGTTTTCTTGCCATCATTGCCAGTATTGCCTTATCACCATCACCATCATTTTCATGATACGGGCCAATAAATGTTGGCCCTGTCTATCAGCTGTAATGCCTGAAGGCGTCGCGGATTTTTGCTTCATATTTATTTTTTGTTTGTGGTTTGCTTGGTTGAAATTCAATTTAAAGAAAATCACTCAGCCTGCTAGCTGCAATAATTGGCAAAGTTGTCGAGTCACAGCAGAGAGTTCAAAAAAGAAGGGCCCTAACCAGCCAAATTGAAGGGCGTCTGTATTTCCTGTTCTCTGATTATGGTTATTATATGAGATCTCTCTATAGCGCATATATTGCTGCTATTCTGATCTCTTCGTTCGCACACTCGCAATTTTGTGGCCATAAGTCAATCTGAGGTCGTCGTGGCTTGTTTAGTGGTGGAGTAATCTGTGAGATAAACACGAGGCTTAAATGTTGGTTATTTTTATCTCTATTTAGTTGAAAGTTGAGAATATCAGGTGTAAAATTCCATATAGTAGGGGTTGGTGAAATACGGAGTACCCTAACACAAATGTTGGCAGTGTTGGTTTCCGGCAATGTTTGTGTGTCTGGGAGTTTTTAGTCGGTGTTTTTTTTAAAGTATAGCTTGAATCATATTTACTGCAAATTGAAATCGATCTGGTCCTTCGTTTTGGCGAAATTTGGGAAGCTTTCATCTCCTGCTTCAGATACTTTGGGATAAACTAAACTTCAATATTTGTCTATTTCCTATGTCGTTCTTTTTTATTTGCACTTCGTTGAAGTCTCACGGTGAAGCTACGACGTTTCGACCGGTTGGCATTGCGCTTGGTAGCCAAATAAAAAAACTCGAGATGAAAGTCGTGATTTTCTTGAAATATTTCTGCCACTTGACGGCACTGAGTTGAGCTGTTTGGCTTGGCCAAGATTCGCGCAAATTATTAACAGGCAGCTGCACTCGAGTGTCTTGTTCTGCACCCTGTAGCTGTCCCTAGCTCCCACTTGACGCAACTCGAGATGATGCTGATGCTGGCATTTGTTATTCATGTTATTCATGCGGCTACATGTGCCTGCGCGCGCGCCTCACAATTAAGTTAGAAAAACATGTGTACATGCGCATTTGGGGCGTGAGTGGCATGCCCAAAAGAGCCAGGTCAACAGCGTCTTTAGCTTGCATTTTGTACCTGCCCCAGGGTCGCCCACGCGGCAAGCGCTGCTGCTGCAGCGGCAAGTGGGGCGTTAATGAGCCGCGCCAGTGCCCCTTAACAATTGCATTTTGATAAATTGCTGGCCAACATTCGACGAGGCGAGGAAGTTGCCACAACTAACGGCGCTTTCCTCACTCGCTAACAAGATCCTGTTCAACTAATCCCAATTCAAGAACTGCTCGAGTTGCGCTTCAAGCTTCATTAGCCAACTAGTTGCGCAGTTACTCAGTTCCTCAGTTTCTATTTAGTCGGATGATTCCTCATGTTTCTATTTAGTCGGATGTTTCCATTTAGTTGTGTGCTCATTTATGGAGTGGAGAGATTGGAGTAGCAGTATTTATTTATAAAGTATCCGTATGAATCTTTTCTTTATCTTTCGTATTATAGACTTTTTGGACCGGTGTTACGTTCTGGTCGGTCGGGATGGATTGACGTACTTAGAAGTATTTCTTCTTTATTGTAAAAATATAGCAAGGAATTGGAGTTTTTTTTTCCTATATTGTATTTTCCTTTTACTGTTCGTATTGAGTTTATTGTGAATTGATTTGGGATATATCTCTGCGAGATTCTTAGCTGTATTTGTATTTGTAGTAGCATAATTTTGATTGGTTGGCTTCCTGGTTGCCTGACCAAGTGTGCGTTTGGCTAATGCACTTGGCGTCTAATGCTTGGCATGATGACTTAATTGCGCATTTTAGCATAGGCATAGACCCAGATGCGCAGACAGAGTTTTTGAGATGGAGATGGAGATGCAGATGCAGATGGAGATACAGATACGGATACAAAATGCAGATACCATTTGAGCAGCTACATAAGCGCCGGTCTGGTCAATGAAACGAGTCTGTGTTGTTGTGACAGGCGGTGATTAGACCGAGTCCCTCTGTCTATCACTCGGTTACTTTAGCTTTCTCTGTCTCTGAGATTGCTCGCCTCGCTTTTGGTTAATTGAAATGTGGCTGTCCGTTGGCTCGATGTTTGCTTGTTGCACATTACAGTTAACAGGAAAGCTGCCACAGGCGGCATATCAAAGTGTATGTATGTGTGTGTGTGTGCCACATGCTAAAGTTAATCCTTTCATGGCTCACTGCACACGCACACGCAGACGCACATTTCCAATTCCCATTTTCCAATTTCCAATTGCGGTGTGTGGGAAAAATATCGCCAATTGACTGCGATGACGATGCGTCATGATGCACATGCTGCAATTAATTATATGCCACACTTCCGGTACGCTTGACCTTAGCCTGAGTGCAGTGGTTGTTATATTTGTTGTTGTTTCACTCTGTTGCATGCCCCCGCTGCCGCTTCACGGTCAGCTGAGCTGCTTTGCAACGCGGCAAGTGCAGCAACCGCAACAGGGTTGAATTCGAGTCTTCTAAATACATTTCTGTTCTCTTTGCTGACGAGTTGCGCCTCTTCTTATTTTGGTAATTGTCGCTGAAACTAGTTTCCCACGTTAGCAACAGGTCCCCCCTCTCTGTCGCTCTCTCGCTCTCACTCACCTGTTGGGCAGACCCAGTTGCAGACACATCCATCAGCGACGTGTTGAACGCTTCGTTGATTTCTTCTTTTCAAATTTGATGGCTTCAACTTTTTCGTCATAGAATAATTCCTATGCTCGAATTGTTTCTTGATGTCTCTTTGATGGTTTTTTTGTTATTGGTTTATTGTATTGCTGCTATTCATTCATCTTCGATTTGGCTGTGCGATTTGCTCGCTCTGCTTTCGTCTATTTAGTTTTCGTTGTTGTCTGATGGAGCTCGTTTTATATATATATATTTTTCTTGACTTTTCTCATAATTAAATTTTTATTTGGTCATCTTAAAACTTAATCTCTTTGATGATGCGAGAGAAGTCTCCGTGCCTTAATTTGATGTGAAGCTCAACGCAATTACATTTATTATCACCTATGTATAACTTTCGTGTTTATTTTTCTTAGGCTTCTTTGTCTCTTCTCTGTGTGTGTTCATCTCCTCTCTTTCT